TCTGGGTTCCCCTGTTTCCTCTCACTGTCCAAAAACCTGCAGCTTAGGTTAATTGACTAATCCAAATCAGCACCATAGACATGCTCCTAGTCAGTAGTTATCTCCTAATAACGATCACTATCTGTTTATTAGCTGCTACAGCAGGGGAGTTCTCCAGATCTGCCTAAGCTCAAACTCCCCTCTCAACTTGCAAACGGGAGGGAGCCCCAGGCTCAAGCATCTTATGAGCTCAGGGCTCTCTCCCGGCCAAACACGCTTTATAATCACTCATAAGCTGAGTGTGAACTCTTGAAGTAATTGTAAATTAAGTGTAGTGGTATAGTCCAGGACATTCGACACACATTACGATGAAAGCTAAACTGGTGGTTTTGTAAATGTTGTAGTAATAATAATTTGTGTATCAATATAAATATGTTTGTATCATTAAAGTGTGTGTGTGTGTTTCTGCAGGTGCACAGACACACAGCGATGCAGTCTCAGGGCTCTCAGTCTCAGCAGAACATACACACCACCACTCTCGCGCGCGCAAAGACCGAGATCCTGAGAGTCATCGAGATCCTCATCGAGAAGATGCCGTCTGACGTGGTGGATCTGCTGGTGGAGGTACACACACACACACACACACACACACACACACACACACACACACACACACACACACACACACACATACATAGCATATTCCCAAACACTTACGCAGCATACTTTCACATTCTCACACATATTCTCTTACACACAGCTGATGACCCAGGCACAGAACAGTGGATTGATGTGTGTGTGTGTGTGTGTGTGTGTGTGTGTTCTCCACAGGTGATGGACATCATCATGTACTGTATTGAAGGCTCTCTGGTCAAGAAGAAAGGCCTGTCTGAGTGTTTTCCAGCAATCTGCAGGTCAGTGTGTGTGCTTGTGCGTGCGTGCGTCCGTGTGTGCGTGCGTGCATGTATATGTGTGTGTGCGTGTGCAGTACAACCTGAACATATGATTTTCAATACTTGAGGACTCTGTATATGCTATTATAGTTTGAATTAACATAGTATGTAATTACTCTATGTATATTGTGTATATTGAATTTTTTTTGTGTTCTTAAACAAACAAAATATACGTTTTATAATATAAAATAATGATTATACTAATATATATATTTATAAGTAAAGTTGTAATTCAGTCCGAGCGATTGTATCAGCGTCACTGATGTTGTTATGAAGGAGCAGCTCATTGATCTCTGAGGTTAAAGGTCAAACATCACCTTTCATATGTGATGGATTGGGAGCTAATGTATCTGAAGTATGAAATATTAGCAGTAATATATTGTAATATATATATATATATATATATATGTTTGTTAAACCTTTATTTTAAAAAGTCTTTTTGTATAAAACAAGTCATTTAAAAATATCTTAAACACTAATTTGAAAAAATAATGACGTGATTTAAAGCTATTTAAATTAATGAGAAATATAGTTATAAATTAATTAGCTATTTAAAAAAAAACTTGAAAATTAATTTATTTGTAAATGAGTTTATAAAAACTTTATTATTCGATGTAAATTAATTCTTTATTTTGTGGAAAATGTATTTAAAAAATTTTGTTTGTTGAAAAGTAGTTAAAA